GGACCGGAACCATCCTGCCACTGCTGGCACACAGATGCCATGGCCGAAGGTGAGCCCGAGGCCCGCTGTGGAGCCCTGCCTCACATCCACCCCCAAGTCTGAGTCCACCCACAGGGACAGCAGCTGGAGGGAAAGGCTGAAGACCGAGACAAGTTTCTTCATCTGACCACAGTCACTGTGAGATAAAGAAACAGGCCAGCGAATCAAGCTGATCATTGGTGTTGGGATAGGAGGAATCCCACTTCTGACACCTACACCCTTGTGTACATCACATCCCCTCTGGACTTGTGTCCACACAGCTAGAGAATGAGAGAACCAGATTAGATTAGATAAGATCCCCTGCAAACACCACATGCCACACATATACGCAGGAGTCATTCTCTAACACAGTGTAGAAGGTGGTAGAGATAAAGCTTCCAATCAAAATTGACTGCTGGGCTTCCCTGGTGGCGCAGTGGTTGAGAGTCCGCCTGCCGATGCGGGGGACACGGGTTCGTGCCCCGGTCCGGGAAGATCCCACATGCCGTGGAGCGGCTGGGCCCGTGAGCCATGGCCGCCGGGCCTGCACGTCCGGAGCCTGTTGCTCCGCAGTGGGAGAGGCCACAGCAGTGAGAGGCCCGCGTGCCGCAAAAAAAAAAAAAAAAACGGAAAAAAAAAAATTTGACTGCTTCCATTTACAAACTCTATGATCCTTTTGTGTCCCCCACTGTGGTTCCTAGGAAACTCAAAGGTAAAACCCAGAGTCCTATTTTGTTTTGGGTTTTCATGATACAGCTAGCTCCTGACACTGGTTATTAATCCAGTTTTTTTAAATGTATTTTAACTGCATTATTTTATGAAATTCCTTGGTAAACTTCAGGACATCTCAGGCCTCTGCCCAGTGGAAGGAGATCCAGAGAAAAACCAGAGCTGGACAGAGTTAAAGTGGTGAAAACATTTTATTCAGGAGCTATTGCAATAGAGAAAGAGACCTCAATATAAAACCAGCACAACTCTGAACTCGTCGCGGACAAGTGGGGGTTTATAGCCAAGGAGCAGGTGGAGCTTAGTGGATGGAAATTACTAAGAAGAAGCATCGGGGTAAAGGGGGATTTGGCTAAACTGACCTAACATTCTCTCTGAAGGCAGGCCAGGGAGGTCAGACGTCACCTGCGGGCTGGAGAGAGGTGAGGAACCTGATCAGATATGGAAGGTAATCAGATATTGAGGGTGAGGGTTTCTGGTTAAAATTGACTTGACAGGATTCCTGCTAAAATTGGACAATGCAGGGAGGAACGTGCAAGTAGACTTGGTTAAAAAGTTCAAGGGAGCCTGAGCAGGGTTTGGTCAAGGAGAGACTCTCTCAGGAAAACGTGGAGAACGGCATCGGTGGCTCTGACCAGGGCAGGAGAAGGGCCTTGTATGACCAGGATGTCTGGCCTTTCCCCTCCACGCCAAAGGCTCACCAGGAACTGCATGCTCACTGCAACCTTGAGAAAATGGTTATGGGATGAGGCATCTACATTACCCCTTGTCTGAATCTCCACGGCCGGGACCTTCGGAGCACAAGGGTGACATTTGGAGATGGCAGTGCCAGTGACCACCGGGAACCCACTGAACTTGAACCAGTTGGGTTTATGACATCACAGTGAGGGAGAATGCACCCACGGGGCGTCTCAGGACGAGGCTGTGAGGAAGGACCGAGGATGGGGACAGAGGGGTGAATTTGGAGAGGACCTCGGGCAGCCGGGGCTCGCTCTGGATTGGGTGCAATTCTGTGACTGAGCCTCACAATCATTCTCACCTGCAGAGAGGGCGGACCAGAGTGAGAAGGAAGCCCTATTTGGTAACAGCAGCCATTGCCCCTTTGGGTAGAAGGGGGTGTGGGATGCGAGGTGACCTTGCTTTTGTCTCTATCACCGTTTCCACGTGGCCTCTTCTGAGGCTGATATTCTCTGAGAGCCTCTGTGTCCAACAGAACACATGGCCTGGCTGGGAGCATCAGATGAGTTCCCAGATGTCAGGGGCTGCTCTTTTCTCCCTCAGAATATTAGTAGTAGCTGAATAGCTGTTTGTTAGGCTAAGTGTCATTATGTCAGATCTATCCTATTGATGTTACTGTTTCAGTAAGTGGCCTTCACCCAGAACTTCAAAAGTGTCTGCTACCCCCCATGGTACTTACTCTAAGGGCGTTTATCTTATATTTGCTGTCACACCTGCTTTTCTTATTTTTTTTTACGGCTACCTCACTCCCTTCTCCCATGCAGCTACATAGGAGGCAACAAAAGGACTCCTAGTATCCTTCAGTGTTACAGACTGTCTGCACACCTCCTCCAGGCTATTGACACAAAAGAGGGAAAGCCGGCTAGCCAGAACCTGCAGGAAATTAGGGTCGGTTCCCATGAATGTTTCTATAATGATTTTTCGCTCCTTGCGGCAGCCTGTTTTCTTCAGCTGTTTGCCTGGTGAGGCCTGGCTGACGGACAGCTCACAGCAAACTCTCAGTGAAGACGCGTAAGTGGAATTGCAATTCTAGATTTTTCTGAATGACTAGGGATTTTACCTCTCATAAGCAAAGCATCTTAATAACCATTTGGGGATTGGGTCTTTGTAAGACAATTGCACATGCCTGCCTTTTAGCAGAGGTCTCTGAGATCTCAGGCCCTGAGCGCCTCTGTGTCCCGCTCACAGGGTGATTGACAGTGACAAGGAGACTGTTGGCAGCATTGTGGGTGGAGTTCCAGGAACCAAGGAGGGGTTGCAGGGCGCCCCAGCTTGCTGTCGCTGCCCCTCAGGGCAAGAGAGGGGGGCTGCCACCAGATTCAGGGGGGACCTGTAGCCACAGTGGGGTCCTGGGTCTGCTGTGCTGTGGGTGAGGACCAATGCCAACCCGCAGTGACCGGGCAGGAGGAGGCCAAAGGGGCGAAGGCCCCATCCCCACTCTCCACTGGCACTGCCAGAGCCGGACCCACCAGGCAGGCAGCGGACTCGGACTCTCCGTGCAGTCTCTAAAAGTGGGTGCCCCTAGCCCGGCAGCGAGGGAGGCCAGCACTGGGGGGGACCAACCATAACCGCCCGATTGCCCACAGCAATGCCCTCAGCTTCTTTCACAAGCTGTAGAGCACCTGCCTCTAAACCCAGCACCCCCAAGCTGTGACGTGGCCATTTTAAATGTGCGTCTGCTTTTCGCTGTTTTCCTCACTCCTCATGCAAAAGGAAAATAAAGCAATTTATTTTTATATGTCTAGTTTACTTAGATTCTGGATCGCTGGTTAATATCTTTCTATGGCCTTTGCAGGCACAGTGACAAAGTTCATTGCAAGTTCTTCTGTTAATAAGTAGGAAAAGGAAGAGAAAAATGTGGAACTGTGTGTGGTGATGGGTGGTATCACTGTGCTGGTCAGCTTGCAATATGTACAAATAGTGAATCATGATGTTGTACACCTGAAACTAATATAACGTTATATGTCAATTATACCTCAATAAAAAAAACAGAAGCAGAAAAATAAGAATGGAAGTTTTACATCTCCTGCCACCTCTGACATTAGAAGAGACCCTAGAGTGAAGACATCTTTGAAGATCTGACACACATGGACTGGTCCAAGGGGAAGAGAATGAGACGTGACGTAATGAGGCAACACCTTCTTTAAAAGCAGGTGTATTCGTCAGCTTTGGATGCAAAGCAAACAGCATAACATCTCAGTGGCATAAAACAACAAGCACTTACCTGTCACTCAGGTCTGTGGGTCATCTATGGGTCCCCCCTTCAGGCTGCAGGTCAAGGTCATGTGTGCTCCACATTCTGGGGTTGAGGGGCAGTGGGCACACCAGCCAGGGACTCCCAGAGGGGCAGGGCCTCAACAGGCCACACGGCCAAGCCCGAGTTCTGTGGGGCGAGGGTTAAGTAGCCATCTCCCCAGTAGGTCAAAATCCTCCCTACACTCCTGTCCTGTTTCTCCATCTCACGGTCCTGGACCTCATAGCTACAGAATCTGTAACAGCAGAAAGAGTTAACACACACCTACCAAAGGCTCTGAAATTATAAATCCAGAAACAGCTTCTATTCATAGAAGTCTCGGCATTTGTAACTCCAAAGATGGATTTAATATTCGTGCCCTGAGACATCTGTTTTTACAAGTCCAAAAAGAGCTTTGATGCACATTTCCCCTCACCCCTGTGCAGAAGTGTCTAATGTTTGGGGGTTTTGTGCTGGCCATTTTTGCCTTAGTTTTGATTCCATACTCATTCCTTTCTTCCTACCGCAGTCAGCCTACCAGTTCCTAAAAGTCGGAGGTTTCCACTCTGATGGCCGTCAGAGTGACCTAAGAGAAGACCTAGAAAGCCACCCTCTGGGGCAGGGCACTGTCACCCCAGCTCACATCTTGGCCCCTGCGCTCCTTCTCTCCTGCATCCTTTTTGTCTTCCTGCAGAGAGAAGGGTGTTTGCCAAGCAGCCGAGGGTCCTGCAGGACAGGCTTGGAGGAGAGGGGCCCCGGCAGCAGCTCCCGGGAAGGCCTGCCCACCAAGAGCTGCCTTGTTCTGTTCACGCCTCCAGAGACCCGAGGATAGATTAGCGTAAGAAATTGCTAGGCAGAGCAGCCGTGTCTTTGGTTTTTCATATTATATTCTGTTACGCCAAGCGTGAGATTTCTACATCCCTTCTGAGACTGCCCTGAATCAGTTCTCAAGCTAAAGGCTGATGACACTGAAGTTTTTTCCTTTTTTAATGGTTTATACTTTTTTTTTTTTTTTTTTTGCGGTCCGCGGGCCTCTTACCGCCGTGGCCTCTCCCGTTGCGGAGCACAGGCTCCGGACGCGCAGGCTCAGCGGCCACGGCTCACGGGCCCAGCCGCTCCGCAGCACGTGGGAGCTTCCCCGATCGGGGCGTGAACCCATGTCCCCTTCGTCGGCAGGTGGACTCCCAACCACTGCGCCACCAGGGAGGCCCCTATACTTTTGTTTTTTTAAACATCTTTATTGGAGTATAATTGCTTTGCAATGGTGTGTTAGTTTCTGCTGTATAACAAAGTGAATCATCTATACGTATACATGTATCCCCATATCCCCTCCCTCTTGCATCTCCCTCCCACCCTCCCTATCCCACCCCTCTAGGTGGTGAAGTTCTTTTAAGCACCAAGAAAGGACTTACTTTAAAACTCAGTCTAGTTGTTCTCCTTAAAATAGACTA